GACACGACCCGCGGTCGACTACGTGGGAGTCCAGCGACATAGCCATTACACTAACTTCTGGTTCCCACCCAATCATTTTTTTAAAGAATTATTTAATCTTGGGACCAGCAGTTAGTGTAATGGCTATGTCGCTGGACTCCCACGTAGTCGACCGCGGTTCGTGTCCCGGACCCGGTGGCTTAAAACTCACGCCAGGCACGTGTGCGTGCATGCCCAAGATCCCGAGAGGAGAATGGAGGAGAAGGGATTGCGGCGTGACCATCCCCCCTGGGGGGTGATTTCTCGCTTTCTGTCTCTCTGCCTCTGTCTTTCTGGTGAACACATGCGCCCTATAGTGAAAACTTCTCCAAAAAAAAAAAAAGAATTATTTAATCTTATTTATTATTATTGTTATTTTATTGACCATAGAGAGAAAGAGAGGGAAAGTGAGAAAACAAACCACCATGTCCAGAATGCGAACCGTGGTTGGCCACGTGGCCTTAGCCACCACGTTACCTGCCAGTTTAAGTCATTTGACACAGGCAACAATGTCTAGCTAGAACTTAATTTTATTGTCTTGTTTTCTTCATTTGCATAGTGTATTTCTATTGATGCTGTGAGCAATGATCACAAGTTAATGGTTTAAAGCAATGCAAAGTTATTCTCTGTAGGTCAAACGTCCAACACGGGTCTCACTAGGCTGAAATCAAGGTGTCGAGATCTAGGTGTTGGCAGGAAGGGTGTGTGTGTGTGTGTGTGTGTGTGTGTGTGTTAAGTTTTTACCATAGGGTGCATATGCTGGCCAGAGAGAAACTGAGAGGAAAGTGAGAAATCACCCCCTGTGGGGGATGGCCTTGCCCTGCAACCCCTCTCCTCCATTCCCCTCTCAGGATTTGGGCAAGCACGCACAGGCACTAGGTGTGCCATGCCCGGGACTCAGAAGTGCAGCCGGCCATGTGGAAGTCCAGTAGCTTAACCACCATGCCGCCTGCTGGTCCCAAGAGGGTTTTTATGAGCTTTCCAGGAAAGGCTCCTTGTCCTCTCAGCATCTAGGAGCCACCTGCCCCTTCAGCTCAGGACCAGAGCCAGCAATGGATGCGCGAGTTCTCACTTCCCCTCTCTGGCCTTTTCCCGCTCCTCTCTAATCTAGCAGGAAAGGCCCTCTGCTCTTGAAGACTGCGTGATAAGCTTGTGATTAGATTGTCCTGCCTAACTCAGAGCAATCTCTTTTTTTTTTTTTGAGAGGTTTTTCGCTATAGGGCGCGTGCACTCGCCAGACAGACAGAGAGAGACATCGAGACAGAAAGCGAGAAATCACCCCCCAGGGGGGATGGTCACGCCACAATCCCTTCTCCTCCATTCTCCTCTCGGGATCTTGGGCACGCACGCACACGCTCCAGGCGTGAGTTTTAAGCCACCGGGTCCGGGACGTGAACCGCAGTCAACTACGTGGGAGTCCAGCAACATAGCCATTACACTAACTGCTGGTTCCCAGGGCAATCTCTTCATCTCAACATCCATTCCTTTAATCACATCTGCCCTTTTGCTGTGAAAGATAATATATCCATGGATTCTGGAGACGAAGGTTTGGACATCGGTGGAGTCTCACTTACTGTAGTAAGACCAACTTTTCTTTTTTTGTAGTTTGCTGTAGGATGCGTGAGGTTGCCAGAGAGAGACAAAGAGAGAAAAAGAGAGAGAGAAAGTGAGAAATCCCCCTATACCTACCAGGGGGACGAACACACTGTAATCCCTGGTCTGCCATTCTCCTCTTCGGATTTTGGGCATGAATGCATACGCTCTCTGCATGTTTTCAAGCTGCTGGATCAGGACTTGAACCAGGCAGTCAGCCATGTGGGATCCAGTCACCTTAATCTCTACACCATCTGCTAGCGCTCCAACTTTTCTTTTCTTTCTTTCTTTCTTTTTTTTTTTAGAGATTTTTGTTATAGGGCATGTGCGTTCACCAGACAGACAGAGAGAGACAGACAGAAAGTGAGAAATCACCCCCCAGGGGAGATGGCCACGCTGCAATCCCTTCTCCTCCATTCTCCTCTCGGGATCTTGAGCACGCACGCACACGCTCCATGCGTGAGTTTTAAGCCACCGGGTCCGGGACTCGAACCGCAGTCAACTACATGGGAGTCCAGCGACATAGCCATTATGCTAACTGCTGGTCCCCCAACTTTTTTTTTAAAGCGTATTTTATTTTCAGTAAAAACAACTGGTTGGTGTAAGGGCATGCTCAGTATTACATATAGTTCTTAGATAGGAAAAAACCTGGTGAAGCAGCCAGATTATCACTAAGGTTTGGGAAGAAATAGTGTCTGTTTGGTAGGAGATCTGCCTCCCAGGCATCTGAAAAAAAAAAAAACTCTGTTGACATAGCCCGTGGATCAAAGCATCCCCTCCCTGCCTCAGGCCAGTTCCTGTGCTCTTGGTGGAATTCACAAAGCAGGTCCGGAACAGCTCTGGTTCCGGGTGGAGGACCTACATCCTGGAAGGGCTGGGATCTGCGTCACGCAAGGACCAGAACTAAGCAGGCACTGTGGCAGCAGCATGGCCCCCTCGGAAGACCCCTGCACCTGGAGGGCCAGCCTCAAGGACACCAGCCTGGGGACAGACTTGGAGACCAGCTCTGGTAAGAACTCTGCAGAAAGACTTGCTGAGGGCAGGTGAGGAGGCAGGAGTCCCAGAGCAGACCCCCGACCTGGGACTCTCAAGCCACGGGTGGGCTCCATTTGTTTCCTGTATTAACCAGCCTACCAAAACATCAGCTCCTTTCTGAGCCTGTGTTATGGCTAAGAACGGGTAGTTAGATCTTGCTTGCACTGTGTGGATAACTTAAATTTTGCCTCTCCTTGACTCTGTCCCCCTCCCTGGTCAAATTAAAAATAAATAAATAAAGTTAAATAAAAAATAATTCTTAAAAAATAAAAACGGGAAAAAAATTGTTAGAGGGCACTTATGCTTGCTGGGGAGGCAGCGGGGGAGGGGAGTGTCATGAGAGAGCATTCCCCGGGGGGAATTTTCCCCATCCCTTCTCCATTCTCCTCTCGGGATTTTGAGCATGCATGCACACGCACTTGGCCTGCTTCTCAAGCCATCAGTCAGGTCTGGGACATGAACCACAAAGTTGGCCATGTGGGACCCAGTCACCCTAACCACTACATCACTGACTGACCCCAAAAGTAACTTAAAAGAATGCCAGTTTTGGATTCAGACAGATTTGCTTCATTGATAACTCTGTTGATTAGTTAATTAATTCCCCTGTGCTGGGCTCGCAGCTGGGGCGAAGGAGTGTGTAACAGTAAGATAGAGCAGGTACCCCCAGGGCAGGTGGGGCCAGGGACTGCTGGGATTTTCCAAGGCTGCGAGGAGCGGGGAAGCAGAACGGTGTCCCCCAAGGGCCACCAACTTGTGCAAAACGAGCCTCAGTTTCCTCATCTGCCAAAGGTGGCCAGAGCCTTCCCTGGGCTGAGGACCTGGCTAATCCCAGTACTGTCGTGGGCTGGCAGCACCGACATCCTCTTAGAGCTTGTTAGGACGGCAGCATCTGGGCCGCAAGTGGTATGGAGGTTAAGGTGCTGGATCCCACACGGCCAACTGTGCAGTTCGAGTCTTGGAACTGGTGGCTTGAAAGTCACGCTGGGCACATGCATGTGTGCACGCCCAAAATCCTGAGAGGGGAATGGAGGAGGATTTGGGCATGGTCATCTCCCCTGGAGGGTGACTTTTAATACCAGCCCAGTGGCTTATAAAACATGTGTGTGTGTGTGCGTGCTCACGTGCACACGGCCCAAATCCCAACAGGGTAGAGAAATTAAGGAGAAGGGATTGCAGAGTGACCACACCCCAGTGGGGGGTGCTTTCTCACTCTCCTCTTTCTCTTTGGTGAGCTCATGCACCCTCTGGCAAAAGGAAAAAAAAAAGTGCAGCCTCTTAGGTTTCATCCCAGCTTTGCCCCAAACTCTGCATGTTAATAGGACCCCCAGAAGTACGGAGAAGCGCGGTGATGGCCTGTGTACTCAGGGCAGACAGACAGCGGATCCGGGAGAAGCCAGGCCTTACCCTGAGGCCTCCGGGAGGCTGAAACCCAAGCCTTCCACCCAACTCCACTCCTTGACATCAGCCACCCCTCAGTGAAAGCCTAGAGGATGGATGGATGAGGGGATTAATGAAACCGTGACCCTCGCTCGTGCCAACACAAACCTTTGGTCTTCCCCTGCCTTCTAGGTGGGAAGCTGGGCCGCCATCAGAAGGCCATCCCTGCAGCTCACCTAACCTTCGTCATCGACTGTGCCGAGGGGAAACAGCTGTCCCTGGCTGCACCCCCAGCGCCGCCCCAAGCCTCCAGTCCCAACAGAGGGCTCATCGTCTCCCCAATGAAGACTTACATTGTGTTCTGTGGAGACAAGCAGCCCCACCTGACTCAGGAGACAACCCTGGGTGGGGGACAGCTTGTCCAAGGCAAGAATGCCCTGCCACCCTGCAGAGAGGCTGTGACCTCAGCTTCCCTGCCGGGCAGCCCGCTCTGCTCCCAGGAGGCTCCTGAAGCCAAGGGAAAACCCTCGAAGGCTGCACCTGTCAAGTCAACGTGGGGAACCGTCAAGGGTTCACTTAAAGCTCTCTCCTCCTGCGTCTGTGGGCAGGCTGATTAAGCGGGCAGGCCAGGCCATGGGAGGAGGGGGTTGGCATGCCAGGCTTCAACGCCAGGGGCTGCAGTTCCCCGCCCCGCCCCACCCCTGCCCAGTCAGGCAGGAGTCTTCTGTGCCTGAGCCAGAGAAAGTGCACCAGGTCCACTAAAGGTCAGCTGAGAAAGCCACTAAGTGCCTCTGCTTTCTCCTTCCTCTCATCTCTGCTGGCCTTTTGGCAATGCAAGGACAAGGCTCCCCAACGTGGAGACTAATTCATTCCTACAGCGAGTACTAATGGCTCTGCAAAGTGCTAGGGAAGATGCCACTGCTTTCTCAGACCTTGTAGTTTGGGCATGGCGGAAGGGGAGAAGGGTTAAACCAGTAATCAAATAAAGAAAGAAAATGATTTTATTTATTTTAAAAGAATTATTTTATTTAACTTTATTTATTCAATTTATTTATTTGAATTTAACCAGAGAGGGACAGAGTGAGAGAGAGAGAGTAAGAGAGGGAGAAGGAGAGAGAGAGAGAGGGAGCAAGCAAGCCACCAGGTCTGGGATTTGAACAGTGGTTGGCCATGTGGGAGTTTAGCAACCTTCACCACCACCACCTGCTAGCCCAAAAACTGACTTTTTTTTAATTGCCAGAGAGGGAGAGGAATAGCATCCCCCTAGGGACATGGTCAAGCCATAATCTCCTTTTCTTCCATTTCCCCCTCCCATTAGGATTTTGGGCATGCAGGCATACACATGTGGAGAGTTTTGCAAGACATCTGGGCTGGGACTGAACTACGATCGGACACGTGGGATTCAACTCTCACTCTTTTTAAAAAGGATTTTCTGGGTTATACACACTCACCAGAGAGAGGGACAGTGAGAAATCACCCGCTGGGGGAATGGCCACACTGCAATCCCCTCTTCTCCACTCTCTGGATCTTGGGCACCCATACATGGGCCCAGCATGCTTCTCAGGCTGCCCGACCCAGGACTCAGGCTTTGGAGTCGGCTCCGTGGGATCCAGCATCTTAACCACACCGTCTGCTGTCCCGAGGGATCTAGTTCTCTTAGCCGTGTGCTACAGGGCCGGCCAGCTGGGAAGATAACTGAACAGGGATGAGTCTGTGCGTGGAAACAGAAACAAGATGCTAGCGGGGGAGTGACTGGGTGAAGGACTTTTCTTTCTTTTCTTTGTTTGAATTACTTTCTTGATTTATTTTAATTTGACTGGAGAGGGACAGAGAGAGAGAGGGAAAGCGAGAGAGCAAGCCGCCAGCTCTGGGACTCCAACTGTGGTTGGCCATGTGGGAGTCCAGGACCCTCAACCACCACGCCACCTGCCAGCCCCAGTGGAGGGTTATTCTGATGTGGTCCTTGGGAAAGGCCTCTCTGAGCTGGTACTAATTAAAGTATGATCTAAGAAATAAGGAATCAGTCCTGGGAAAACCCGCCCTCCCAGGGCTACCTGCTGGCATCTGACCCCAGGGCAGATCAAGAGTGGGTGGTCAGGACACCCCATGCAATGGGCAGGGACAGCATGTTGGTCAGTGTCACACTAGCTCAGCTGCACGTGCATGGGTCACTGGGAGTGTGCAGGACAAGGATAGGGAGGTTCCAGAGCATGGCAGAGGGGGTTGGGGGCTCCAGAAAGTTAGCAGCAGGGGAAGGCAGCCCTGGGGTGAACCTGGCAATTCAAGATGGGAAATAAGGGGAGCTGCTTCTCAAAGAAAGGTGCTCCAAAATGACGCAGAGTGGCACATCTGAGCACGTGAGAACAAGAGAGCATTTACTGAGCATCTGCTGTACCCCAGGGGCATGCTGCTCCCTAGAGATTGAAGAAAAAAGCAGGTGGGGGGTTCGGTCCTGCCCCACAGGACAATCACGTTTCCAAGCAGAAGGTGGGGACACCGGCACAAGTGTGAGTCTAGGAGATGCATAGCACAGAGAGATGCTCCATAGAAACCTACATGAAGCAGTGTCTCAAGACTCCCAAATAAAAACTGCTGGGACCGGGATCAGCAGTTGGTATAACGGCTATGTCAGTGGACTCCCATGTAGCCTGCCATGGTTCGAGTCCCGGACCCGGTAGCTTAAACTCACACCAGGCACATGTGCGTGCGTGCCCAGGATCCCGAGAGGAGAATTGAGGAGAAGGGATTGCGGTGGGGCTATCCCCCCGGGGGTGATTTCTCGCTTTCTGTCTCTCTGTCTCTCTCCTCTGTCTTTCTGGCGAGAGTATGCACTCTACAGCAAAAACCTCTCCCCCCAAAAAATAAATAAATAAGAAAAAATTGCTGGGACCAGCAGATGGCGTATTGGTTATGTCACTGGACTCTCACGTAGTCAACCGTGGGTCAAGTCCTGAACCTGGCAGCTTAAACTCACACCAGGCGCGTGTGCGTGCGTGCCCAAGATCCTAAGAGGAGAATGGAGGAGAAGGGATTGCGGTGGGGCCACACCCCCGGGGGTGCTTTCTCGCTTTCTGTCTCTCTGTCTCTCTGGCGAGTGCATGTGCCCTACAGCCAAAATCTCTAAAAAAAAAAAAAAATAGCTGAGAGTTCATTTATGTGGTTGGTCGCTGCTTTACTAGTTCTTACAAACAACTGTGAGGATCTGTGTAGTCTGTGTACTCTGTGCCAGGAAAACGAAATCCTCACGGTGCCAGCATGGGGCAGGGGGCACTATCTTTGTGCCATTTTCACAGCTTAGAGACACGAGGCACAGAGAGGTTGAGGAATGCACACAAGGTCCCACAGCTGCACGGCTGAGGCAGAAGCCAGGCAGACCTGGTGCCCAGGGCTTAGCTCCAGTACAGGCCACACTGTCTCATCCTGGCAGCGTCTCCTCTAGGCAGGAGGGGTCCAGAGGGAGCAGACACAGTCCAGTGGTCAAGGAGCTCACAGCCTTGCCAGGCGGGAGCTGGGGAGACTGGAGAGACAGAGAAGACTACCTCCATAGCTTCTAACAAGAGCAACAGTGAGTCCAGATACACTGATGTCAAGGCACGGAGGAGGGTGCCCAGCTGACCGATGAGAGATCAGGGAGGGCTTCTTGCAGGAAGCGACACCTGCACTGAGCTCTGACCAGTGAGTAACCTATACAAAGAGGAAGAGCAGAGTGGAGAGCGTTCCAGACAAGGACCAGAGTCACTCCCTCTGGCTGGAGTTCATCATTCACCAAGTATTTGGTGGGCACACTGTAAGGCAGGCCCCACGCTAGGCTCTGGGATGGAGCCTTGGTTCAGGCAGGCAAGGCCCAGATGTCAGGAGTGACCCTCCAGTACAGGGAGACCAAATCACCCCCCCAGGGGGCATGGACATGCTGCAATCTCTTCTCCATTCTCCTCTCGAGATCTTGGGCACGCACGCACACGTGCCCGGCGTGAGTTTAAGCCAACCGGTCCAGGACTCAAACCGCAGTCGACTACATGGGAATACAGCGACATAGCCATTACGCCAACTGCTGGTGCCAGGACTGCAGATTTTATTCTGAGATGTTGGAAACTGTGAGCAGAGACTGATCTTTCCAAAGAATCGAAAGAATGTAGGC